ATCCCACAACACCCCAAGATATGGGACCTGAAATAGACTCTTTGATTCTCTGTAACTCAGGCCCATTTTGCAAGCTTCTCAGCAGCAAAAAGTGAGTGAGTCCAGGGGGCCCCCTTAGGCGAAAGTGATAACTGTGAGCTCAGAAAAGGACCCGGGAAGCACACTGGACTGAGCTGAAAGGCTTAGCTGCCTAAGTGCACATGACCTTGGCGCACGGCCCAGACTCTTCTCAGTTTTCTCATCTGGAAAAAGCCTCCTTCACAGGTAAGTTAAGAGGCTCCAAGCAGAAAATGTTGTGAGAGTGAGATGTCTTTCTTGTAAACTCTCAGGACTGTATGAGTGCAGACACGCTCACGTGAATTGTCAGGACTACTGATGTGGAGCAGGTGGAATGAGAGCTCATGTTTCCTGAGCTTGCTCTTGCTGGGCACCTGGTGCCGTACATGTATTGACTCCCTGCCATGGGTTGAAGCGCGTTCATCCGCAATTTCATATATTAAAGCCCTAACCCTCAATGGATGATATGTGGAGACTAGACCTTTGGGAGGTAATTAGGTTTAGATGAGGTGACGAAAGTGCCCTTATAAGAGACACCAAAGAGCTTGCTTCTTTTCTCCTCGTCCCCTCTGGCCATGGAGAAAATACCAAGTACAGGCATAGCCGCAGCAGGAAGGAGGCCATTTGCTACCCAAAGGGAGAGCCTTCATCAGACACCAAGCCTGTAGACACCTTGAGTTTGAACTTCCAACATCCAGGACTGTGGGAAACAAAGTCTTGTGTTGAAGCCACTCAGTCTTTAGTATTTTATTACTGCATCCTGAGCTGACTAAGACATTCCCTTGATCTCTCAACATCCCTATAAGATCAACCCTGTCATTACTGCCTTTCTACAGATGAGAAAAAAGAAGCCCATAGAGTTTAATGAACTTGCCCAGGGCCAAGGCCGCCAGCTGGGAAGTACAGGAACCAGGATTATGAATTTGTGGCACAGACCAGCCAGAGCTCACCTAAACCATTTCTTATTCCTGGGCACAGAGCTAAACCATGTTTCCCAGCCCTGTTACATCCAGAGATCTTTCTTCAGTGAAACGTAGTGGAAGCATTGTGTGCTGCTTGGGGCAGGGTCGGGGGGAGCACATGGAGAGTGTCCCCATTCCCTCCCTTTCCTTTGGCAGGGACCTCGGAGTCCACGTGTAGGAGATGGCAGCACAAGAAGGGAGCAGCCTGGGTGGTCCCTTAGTGACATCACGAAGCAGGGCACCTCCCCACAACCAATCCTCAGTGGCCTCCAGCTTTATTAAGAAATGAACCGGTGTTGAGATATGTCTGATGGGGAACTCAAGGGTTGGAAAATTTTAATTTTACGTAATAGTTAATAAGCCTGGTAGTTGATGCAAGTAAAAAGCTATTGTTTTAGAACTGAAGGTACAGCCTGCACTGCCTCCAGGAGATCACGGGCTAGTCAGCCTCTGTGCTCCAGAAGGGACCGTAAGCATCAAGGTGGTATCTGAGCCATTGTGCTCCAGGGAGACACATCCCAACGCAACCCAGGACACAGGGCACAGGACCCAGACAAAATCACCGGTCAATGGGTGAACGGAAGTTAGGCAAATGGTCAGACCATGTCTTTTACCTGATTAAACTCTTTCCTGAATTCCAAGTCCCTTACCTACACTTTTTTTTCTCCTTATAAAAAAGGCTGGATTGAGAGGAAATGTGAGATGGTCTGTGAGGGCACATAACCTGCCATCTTCTCAGATCGCCCACCCTCTGAATAGAGCGCCTGAAAAGCTTCAATCCCTGTCTCCGCTTACTGGTTCTTGTGGTGACAGGCAGCGCGAGTGCCAGCCTTTCCGGTTTCAGGTCTGTTTGTGGGAGCAGCTCGTATTGTTGTGTTACTTGCCCTAATACACTCCAGGATTCTTTCTTAATAGGGACTCCTGAACCCTGCTGCAGTTGCTTTATTGCACATCTGTGCATCTACTGGTCCCTCTCTCGCGTCCTCCATCCATCCACCATCTTAATGTATTTTAAAATTTCATACTGCAGATATCTAAAATTTCCTTTGCACCATAGCCAGACTGCAGTGTGGTTGACCTTTGAAGAATGTAGGGGTTGTTTTGCCCGTATTGTTTCCCCCACCCCCATCCCTTGAATTAGAAAATTTGCCTATAACTCTTGACCCCTCTCCCAAACCTAAGTACTAATAGCCTACTGTTGACTGAAAGCCTTGCTGATAGCATAAACAGTCAGCTAACATATTTTGTATTTTTTTGCATTATATACTGTTTCCTTACAATAAACTAGAGGAAAGAAAATAAAATGCTATTAAGAATATCATAAGGAAGAGAAAATACATTTACAGTATTTATTGAAAAAGAATCCATGCATAAATGGACCTGCACAGTCAAACCCATGTTCAAGTGTCCACTGTGTTTGCTTACAGTAGTCTTTTTTTGATGTAAAATGTTACCTGCAATGATGAAATTCACAGATCTGAAGTGTGTGTTTGTTGAGTGTTGACAAGAACATACACTTGTAACCCAAATCCTTATCAAGATATAGAACATAAGTATCATTCCAGAAAGTTCTCAAGTCTCTTTCAGTCAATTCCCACTCTGACCAAGCCTCAGAGGTAACTACTGGTATAATTTTTGTTCCACTGTAGGTTAGTTTTGCTTGTTCTAGAGCTTCATTGAAAAGGAACCATATATCATAGGCATTCCTTAACGCATGGTTTCTTTCATTCAGCATCATGTGTTTAAGACTGAACCTGTGGTTACGTAGTGGTATCACCGCTTTTTGTGTTTGGGAGGATTGGTGTGTACACAGCTTGTGGACCCCCCCCCCCTTCAGGTGGACACCTAGTCTGTTTCCAGCTTTTCGCTAGTATGAATAAAGCCGCTACGAGCATTAGTCTACAAGTCTTTTTAAAAAAAACATGATCTTAATTTTTTCCATTACCATTTAGTCCCCCATTACTCCCCACCCCCCAGCCATCAACACCCTGTTGCCCATGAGTCCTTTTTCTTTTTTGCTCAATCCCTCCACCCCCTCACCTCCCCTGCAACCCCCGCCACTAGCTGTCATGTGTTCTCCAGCTGAGTCTGTCTCTGTTTTGCATACAAGTATCTTTGTGGCCATATATTTTCATTTCTGTTGGGCAAATACATAAAAATGGAATTTCTGGGTAATAAGGTAAGGGCATACTTAATTTTTTAAATAAAAAAACAAAACAAAACTGCAGAGTGCTTCTTAAAGTAATTCTACCGTTTTATTCTCCCACAAACAATACCCAAGAACCTCCAATGCTCCACACTCTTGCCAACTTTCAGGGTTGGCGCTGCTTGGAGTAAGACCAGGTCTTTCTATACTACATCTGGCTCTGGGCATTAGAACATGGGGAGGGCTTTGTGGTCACTAAGGATGTACGGAGCTGTCGTTGGCGCAAGCTAGACAGAAGCAAATATCAATTCATTCCTTGAAACGTTTTTGGAGGCTGGGAGAGATGAAGTAACTGGGAAACTAGGAACGCAGCCCCGGTTTTTCTGGCTGCATTTTCTTTTTCACCTTGGCTGGGACGAGGGAAACAAATGGTGTTGAGACGGGAGATTTCCAGGCTGGGGAGTGTTTTCAACCTTTTCCCATTGGTCAGAGCCCCCAGGAAGTTTAGAAGATTCTGGTTCATGGTGGAATCCGGTGTTTCTGGTCCTGTAGGTTTAGATGAATTGGGGGCAGGCGATGGGGAGGAGGCAGGAGAGAAGAAATTCTCCAAACACTTCCTTCTACCTGCTAGAAGTCTCAGGAGATTAAGCTCTCAGGCTCATAAAAAGGCCTGAAGGGAGAATGAGGGGCCCAGGGGATCTTCCAAAGGTCTTATCTGTTGCCCTAAGCCTTCCAGGGAAGGGCCATCTGGGGCCAAGGGGTGCTAGCTGCAACTCGAATGGAAATTGCAATTCTGCTTGGCTTAAATAATACCCCCCAACTGAGCGGTCCGACCCAGCGAGAGCTGAATCTGTCCTGGGAGAGCACCCAGATGTATTTGAGGGACTGCGTCCGTGCTGGGGTTTGGGGTGCATATGGAGAAGAAACGGAATGAGCGGAGCCCCATCCATTTAGTCCTCAGAATTGTGGGAGGTAAGCACTACCATTTTCATTAGCCAGATGAGGAATCTGAAGAAGAGAGCATTGAAGTGACTTATCCAAGGTCACGCTGTTCAACGTGGCACATTCCAAACTGTCCACATCCTAGAGGAAAAGAGTGATGCAGGGGCTGTGGAATCACAGGCTTGGAGCTGGATGCTGAGAGATTCTGGTCTTAAGGCCCTTCTCTATGTAAACCTTGACTCAGTTCTTGCGATTAGTACGTACTCAGGGGTATTAGCGACTGTTTTCATTATGATTACATAGCTGGAGCATCTTATTGGCACGGTCTCAGAATACCAACGCTAAAAGAACCTTTTAACGCTCCTTTGGTAGTCCTACTTTCTTGATACCCCCTACTCTGGCCGTGGTTTCTAAATGAATGAAATACGGGACAGTTATCTCCTCCCCCAAGCAAGAATCAGAGGGTTTTGAATGCGCGGCCTTCGGGCTGCCACGGGCCCTGGGTAGATTTTCCAGGCTGGGTGGAGGCCCTGAGGGACGCGTTCAGCTCCCTTCTGCTCCCCACGCGCCCCAATCCACAGGCTGAGAGTCCCTCCTCCCCCGCCAGCGCGCCCACCCGCAGCGGGATCTCCAGAGGCCGAGGCTGGCGCGGGGCGCGCAGGGGAGACCGGGCGGCCAATAGAAGGAGGGGGTGGGATGGGGTAGGGGGTGCCCGGCTCCCCCGGGAACCGGGGTAGGGATGGGGTGCAGCTAGCAGGGAAAGCAGGGGATGGGTGTGGGTGCCAAGCTCAGTAGAGAGCCGGGGTGAGGTGGGGTGCAGCCAACAGGAAAAGTAAGGGGTGGGGGTGACGGTGCCTGGCTCGTCCGCCGCCGGTCACGTGAGAGTCAGCCGGGCGCGGGGCGGAGCCGGGCCGGCGCGGTAAATAGGAGCGGGGGCGGCCCGGGACGCTGCGGCGGCTGCTTCGGCACCGGCACTGACTCGGGGCGTCCTTGCCGGCTGCAGGCCCAGGCTCTTGGCGGCGGAGCTCGGTGAGTTCGGGCGGGCGGCGGGTCGGAGCGCGGGCGCAGCGCCACCCCGGCGGAAGTGACCTTGATGGGGGATGAGGAGACTGGAGCCCTGTGCGTCCCGCGTCGGGCCCACTCGGCGCCTCCGGAGACTGGCGGGGTGGGGAGACCCTCAGGCTATTACAGCCGGGCCAGCAGGGTGGCGACCGCGCACTCCTAAAAAGTCGCCCTGGTGAGAAAAGCGAAAAACCACGCGCTTGCTGGCAGCCGGGGCCCCAGCCCCGATCCGGCCGGGAAGATCGCTCCCGCCGCTTCCTCTAGGGTTGTGTTCTTGTCCCGGGCGGGGCACCCGACCCCAGGATCCGCCTGTCCCCAGGGCTGGCGCGGGAGGCAGCCCAAGCGGAGCCGGGCAGTTTGCAGGGGTGATCCGAGGGAGGAGCCTGCGAGGAATGGCCTGGCTCGGATCCGGGGGACTTTCGGCTAGAATCTGGCTACCCCGCGCCTTGTGGGTTTCTGGGCCACAGTTTCCCTAGCCAACTGCAGAAATAATAGTACCTACCTCCATCTGTTTTAGGTATTTTCTTATACCAGATGGTTTGCTTGGGCAACTTTCTGCACACAATCATACGCAATTCAGGGACCCCAGAAGACAGAAAGAGGAAAACAGGAACCTGGGACTGGGTGGATCAGGCTGGAAACCACATGAAAAGTTAAATCTACAGAAGGAAAGAAAAACTAAACGGAGCAGGATGGAAGGCTCTATAGGGTTCCAGGGCCCCGCACCCTGGGAGTGCGAGGGAGGAGGAAGAGGCCACACCTACTGCTTGACTGGCCACCTCCGGCCTAGGGGGGTGTGGGCAAGGGAAAGGCAGGGCAGAGTCCCCGGGGGCATCGCCTCTTCTCTCAAGCAATGACCCGCGCAGCTGGGAGAGGGAGCATTGAGGGAGCAGCGCGGACTGAGTGAGTTTGAGGGAGATAGGACTTGGATTTGTCGTCTTAGTGGGCCTTAGTCGACCCCTTCCCCGGACACTGAGGAGGGCAGCAGGCACAGGGAGAAGGACAGTAATCCAGGCCCCGGGTATCTCTGCCTGACCCAGTAGAAACACTCAGGGAGTGGGAGGGGGTCAGCACCGGTTTTTTTTACCTTGGGAAAACCTGATCCCCAAGTGCCTCCACTCTGAGGTGCGTGCAGCTGAGATTCATTCATCCGGGTGAGTCCGTAGGGGCAGGGTAAGTGAGAAGAAGGTGAAAGGCTTAGAAGGGAGTCTGGCTTGGCCAAGGCCACTTTCCTTTTCTTCCATTAAGTTCTTCGGGTAACAGGGAATTCTTTCCTGTTGACACTGGTGATGGTGACCAAAGGCCCAAGGAGCTGGGCTGGCCCCACCCTGTGGGGCTTTCCCCGAGGGAGGGTTGAAGGCACCCTGGAGGAAGGTTCTGCTCCAGCTTTTTCTGGGCATTTGTCCCATAGCTGGGGTAATAGCCGGTGGAAAGGTGCAGATTCCTCCCCTGGGGGCTTCGCAGGCCTGACCCAGCCTGGCTTCAGTAACTCTCTCCTGTCATATTGGGTCTGGGCAACCTGTTTCCTACTGGGACAGATGGTAAGAGTGGAAGCCTCTTGGCTCCAGGAAAAACCTGCCCCTGTGCTGCTGACTCAGCAGCTTGCACTGGGGCCTGTGGTTCTTTCCCAGCTGCTGAGCTGGGGAGGTGGAGTAGGAAGTTGCCCCCATTTTAGGGGTGAGAGATCCTTTGTGTTACTATTGGCAGCTGGATTGAGAAGTAAAGGGGGAGCATAGGTCAGGTGAGCCTTGCCAAGTCTGTTGGGTGATTTTTTAAAAATGTAAGTGGTGGTTGTGTAGGCTGCCCCTGCCATGGATAGAGGACTGAAATAATTGGGGGTGATGACTTCCAATGTCTGCCGCCTGTTTTGGAGAGTTTGACGTAAGGAAAGTATTCGGCGTGTGACGTTGAACTGTATGAAATGGGAAATTGTGGATGTCAGGGATGGAAACTGGGCATTTTCATAGAGTCCAATCTCATGTATAGAGAGGCGAGAGGGGGTTGACAATGAGTTGATGGATCAAGTTGAGACACACACAGATTTGGTTGTGCTCACTGGATATCGGGAGGCAGCGAGCAGTGTGCACCTAGACTCATGTCGTCATCTCTGTAAACTCTCTGCGTCGGCTCCAGGAGCCGCCTCAGAGGGGGGTGAATCTTTGGTCCTTCCTTGGCTGTTACAGTTCATATTCTGCCATAGTTTGGATAGGGAGGGGGATCTAGTGATCAAATGCCATTGCATATCTAGACTTTACCCAGTCCTGTTTTTAACCTCAAGCTTCATTCGCCACTCTCTTTCCACAGCACCTGGGGCCTCCAAGTCTCAGGCTTGTGTGGGGTTCATCGGGTGAGTGGGTTCCCTCTTGCTCACAGCTGTCCCTTTGCAGGGAGCAGGTTTCAGTTTCTTTGACCTGCAAGTCCATTTGTTACCACTTGACTTCTGGTCTTCCTGACGGACATCGTTGCTCCTTTCTCCTCTTCTCTATATAGTTTTTCTACACTATTTCCTACTTCTAATACTTTGTATCGATCCATGAAGAATGTTATTAAAAGTAGCATAACTTTAATTATACTGCATGTATCCTTTCCCATTGGTGTTTATGAGTGTTACTTGATATATACAGCTCTAGTTCATTCATCTTAAATGTACAGTGCATTTGTCTACTGAGGGACAGTTAGGTTGTTTTTGCTGTTTCATTGTCCTTACAGCACCACATTAAATATCTTTGGATAGCTCAGACTCTTTCAAGAGTTCCTCTGGGGCAGAAGCAGGAGAAGTTAAATAATTGCTGGGTCATGATGTGTCTTCCATTTTGCTAGATACTGACAAGAGCGCTTGGCGGCAAAGTTTTACCAACCTACACGCCCAGCAGTGTTGAGAGTTCCTGTTCCTCCTATTTCCCAACACTGGATATTATCAGACTTTGATTTTCCACAAGCACCAGTTTCCCTCACTTGGAAAACAAGAGCCTATACAGGACTTTTTACACGTTGCTGTTTTATGAATGCTGGGAGCCAGGAAGAAGGCATGCCTGCATTCCTGGCTGTGTTATCTGCCTCCCCCAGGCCAACAACTTATTTAGCCTGGTCATGAAGATAACCTGGAGTCTCCAGCAAGGATGGGGAGAGGAAGGTGGGAGGGATACTGGCAAGAGAGTACACCGAGTCAGCCCAGAGCACTAGAAACACACCTGCATATTCTGCCAAGAGGCCCAGGGGAGGCTGGGCTTCTCTATGACCCTCTGACCTGCTGACATGGACTTGGGCAGAATGTGCGGGTGTGCACACACTCAAGGCCCCTGGCCTCCAGGTTTGCACAAGACCTGGGTGGGTGGTGCCAGCCAATGGCTGTAGTCGCTCCAGGGCTGAGGCATTGTCCAGCATCTGCTGGGAGCCATCTGCCCTCCATTTGGGCCCACTTAACTCTGCAGGGTTTGGGAGGTACATTGTTCTGGTGGTCATGCAAGCACAACAAACCATCATTTCAGTGCTTGTCACTAAAAGTTGGAGGGTCATAATTTTTTATCCACACTAGGATACTTTTGATAATAAAAGGAATTACCCTGAGACAGCAACAGTTAACTGGCCTGGGAATTAGGGAGAGGTGTATTCACCCCACTGGTGAGTGGGAGGCTGTTTCCTAGTGGCAGTTCACTGTAAGGGCTGCCTGCTCAGAGACTGGGAGGGCGGGGGGGAGGGGGCGTGAAAAGCTGTTTGAAAAAAAGCATCCATCGCCTGTCTCCCAAGAGCCTTATGAGTTCCTTTTCCTGGGGCCCCAGGAGAGGAAAGCAGGGCTGAGCCAGAGAGGTGAAGCCTTTCTGTGGCTTGCTGTTGTGGTTCCAATATCTCAGTCGCCTGGTACCCATCCATCAGATGACCCATCCATCAGATGTCGTCCAGCCTGCGGCTGAGTTAGGGAGCCGCTGTGTTCCTGCGAGCTGGAGAAGCATGGGGCACTAATCTCATTTAAATCTCCAAGGAGTTCTAAAAGCTTTGATAAAGTAGTTGCAAGGGCTTTCAGAATCCAGGCAGTATGCCTATTTTATTTTATTTTTATTGATTGATTTTAGAGAGAGAGAGGAGAAGGGTGGGGAGAGAGAGAGGGAGACATCGATTTGTCGTTTCACTTACTTATGCATTCATTGGTTGATTCTTGTATGCGCCCTCACCAGGGAGTACACCCATTTTAGAAACTGAGACACGGAGATGTAGTGTCCTTGTCAGCATTTCAGTAAGTCAGTGTCGCTGGTGAGCAGAAGCTTCCAGAACTTTCCAGAACTTTGTCTGAACCATGTCTGGTTTTCAACAATACACAATTTTTTTACTGATCTGGGCCTTTCTGAGGTCCATGGTTTTAAGCCTAAGATAGTAATTTTTCTCTGTTCTCAGGATGTGGGCTTTTGTGGCTGATCTTGAGCAATGTTCCATTTGTGGACAGTGTGGCTGCGTGGTTTCCAGGCACTGTGGAAAAGCAGCAGCCCTGCTGTACCTGGTGGGAATTAGTCACTTATTTTGGACAGGCGATTGGCAGGTAGGTAGCAGGGGAAGTACCTGTGAGTGGCTGAGGCAAGTGCGGCCTTCTCACCGCCTCTCCTGCTTCCCTCAGAGCCTGCAGGGCTGGTGAGCAGTGCTGCTGGCGGCCAGCTGCGGTGGGCGCCTTCTCTGGGTCCCAGCAGTTGCTTGGGGTGGGGGTGTTTCAGCTGCAGGAAGCCAGGTTCTAGGGGATGGACAGCCAGCCTGGCTCCTGCTCATCCTCACAGTGCCGAGGCAGGTGACAGCTGGGCGGCCTGTCTGTTTCGTCTTGTTTTTCTAGCTTAAAGATTATAAGCCAAGAAGCAGTTAACCAAGTTTGCCTTAGGAGCAAAGCCATAAAACAGAAAAGACCACATCAAAGGCTGTGATTCAGAATCAGAAAGGAAAGGCCTTGGGTTTCCTTCAGGCCCGTGTTTGCAGCCCGGGCACTTGGA